TAAAAAACTTTTTTTTAAAAAAACTTTTTTTTTAAGTAATTAGGAGAATACCATTTGGAAGCTACTTATATTTCATTGATGATCAGTTGTAATTAAATTCAGTTTACCTTAACCACAGTGCTGAGTTCAACAAACAGGAATACAGATTCTATGATGTACATATAGTTTCACATGACCATTTTGACTTTTAGATTTTTAGAGCTCCAAAATAAAATCAAAGATGTTGACCATATACCTTATACATTTCTGGATTGGGGTATGGGTCAGAATAAGTAAAACTAGATCTAGCAAATCTCTTTGGATGAAGTTTTGGAAATCCTGGACAAATTACTTTAAATATGTCTGGACTAATTAAAAACTAGTTATTTTCTAGAAGGCCTAACCAAATATAAACAACTTTTTTATTCAAATGACCTTAAGAGCAGTATTCTTGGGTTTACATATAAAATTTGGCTACATTGGAACTTCTTTGTGGCCAAAATGTATTCTCTTTAAAAGAGCTCCATTTTAGAACCACTGTAAATATTCTCAGAAAGAGAATTATATCCTCTGATTAGAATGAAAGTTCCATGAGGAGTAGGATTTTTTTCTTTATTCACTGCCCTATCCTCAGCATGTAGAAAATACGTTTCATATAGTAAGTGTTCAGAAATATTTGATGCTGAGTAAATATGTAATAACAAATGACTACCCGAGAAAAGATATTTCCATTAGGAAAATATGTTAACCTTGATTATTGTTTTTCCATTAGTACTTTAAATCTACGTGGGACACTGCTCGTTGGAACAGCAGCTGGTTTCTCTGGAATATTGGCAAACTTCCTTTTCAGACACTGCTTCAAGGTTAAACATGATGCTTTGAAGACATATGCCTCATTGACTACACTTCCATTTTTGTCTACCTTAGTTACGTATAAGCTCCTTGTTACAGATGCTTTGTATTCAGGTAAATTTAAATTCATTAAAGTATAATGTGTTCCTGTCTCAGTAAAATTACTCATTAACATACACTGTTGCTACTGCTAATAATAATCCCTTACATTTGTGTATTGCTTTACCCCTTACAAAGTACCTTCACATATATTGTCCTATTTCAGGGGGTCCCACAACAGACCTCCTAATCAGACAGGGCAAGTCTTTCTTACAGATCAGCAGCAAAAACAGAGACATGTTCAAATCTAAGAAGCCGCATAATATACTGAGAAAAAAGCAGGCTTTGGCAGATTACACACAATTTCAGATCCTAACTCCTTGAATTTTGTGACACTGGGCAAGTCACTTAATCTGAAACTCAATTGAGTCTTATCTATGAATTAGGACTAATCATACTTACCTCACAGGATTGTGAAAATTAAGATTGTGTATGTTAAATGCCTAACATAGTATCTGGTATATTATGGGCTTCTAATGTTATTTCCTGCCTCCTCCCATTACCTTAAGTTTCATATCTAGTAATTGATGGAACCTCTCACCCCTGTTCATTAGATAGCTGCTTAAATCTCTCTTCCCCAGGGAAACCTTCTCTGATTCCCTCAAGGTTTCTAGATACATTCTCTATACATTTTACCTTCAAAGCATTGTGCACGCTTAAAATTATTTATAAATATTTTTCAAATGTCTTTTTTTCCTGATTGACTAGCCTGAAGGTTAGATATTGAGTCTCTTTTATGCAACACTGTACCCCTAGCACTTAGCATATGCCTGACACCTAGACAATAAAAATGTATTAACCTAGAATCCAGAGGTCTGGTGAGCTAGTTTAATTCTTTAATACAAAGTTGTTTCTGCAGCAACCATATATCTAAGAGGTAACTTTCCTAATGTAAAGTGTAATAAAAGCACTTTGAAGACATGGTGCATTTAGTCAGTCGTATGCCATACACTGAATTTCTAATATTATTCCTACTATTTCACTGTGGTTGAGGACAATGCAGGTAACTACTCTTTGAGGGCACACGACTTTCTTAATGTTTATCCTGAGTTTTAAAGGGAGATCAAATTTACTTTTGTTTTCCAGGTAATATAAGCGTGGAAGAATGTGCTCTGAGAAGTTCACTGGTTGGCATAGTATGCGGTGTTTTATATCCAACTGGTTTGGCTTTTTCTAAAAATGGACGTCTGGCAGTAAAGTAAGTCTGTCTATTCCTTCTCTTCCTTACTTGTTTAAAAAACATATATATATTAGTAAAGTCTCCTTATTCTTTAGCTGCCATGGACACATTTTAATCATTTTAGATAGCTAACTTTTAACCTTTTTTGCTAGCTACATGGAAGACCTAGAATAGAAATTAACAGTGTAGGAAAAATCAAATTTTTCATAGAATATGCATCCAGAAGTACTTACCTATTTTTCCTTTTTAGGTACCATACTGTTCCACTGCCACCAAAAGGAAGGGTTTTACATCACTGGCTGATGCTTTGTCAAACAGATATAAAAGGAATGCTGATTCCTCTAGCCTTTCAGATAGTCTTTGGAATGTATCAGGGTATACAACATTATGCAATATTTGAGAGTACGTTAGAGAAAACTGTACATGAAGATTAACCAGGTCGTGAATGGATTTTTTTATGGTGAGGACTCAGGTATTGCTGAAGGAGTTCAAAGTAACTCTGGACAATTTGTTTCTGTTCTTCTGCCTAGTGTATAGCAGGTTCTCAATAAATATTCAGAAACTCAATAAATAAATGTAAGTTTTTTCTTTCTTCCTCATTGTATGTGGAAATAGGTTTAGGCTTCAAGTTCTGATCTGTACATTTATATACTGTCATTCATCAAACATTTATTGAGCAACAACTGCCTCTCAGGCACTGTGTTACATGTAATAAGAAATGGTCCTTATCCAGAAGGAACTCACAATTAGAAGATAAATTAAACATATGAACACACAGCATGAGAGAGTTTGAGAGGTCTACACATAATTCTGTGGGCACATTGAGGATGTGGATCGTAACTATTTGGGCAGAAGGGAAAACTATAGAGAAGAAGTGACATTTGACCTACATTTTTAAGAAGTTGAAAGTTCATAAGAAAGCAAAATATAGAAATAGCATACAGCCCATTCCTTCACTCTAAACTCTGATTCAGCTAGCTTCTTATAGTTAACACATTCTTTTCACTGTGCTATTTAAAGAACATATATTGAGTGCCTACTGGCTATGCATTTATACACGCACCAGGGGTACAAAGATTCAGTCCCTACCCTCAACAAGTTTAAAATCTGAAGGAAGAAATCAAAGCATGCATCTTTAAGTCTGCTAGAGCATTCCTGAGCTACACATTTATCTTACTTTAGGAATAAACACTGTCCGATGAAAAGAAAAGATACAGAATGGAACCCCACAGCCCATTTCCCTTGTCTTAACCATATTCATAGTGAGATTAAAGATTTGATCATCTGAAGCTTCAAGCAACCCAAAGCAGAAATGGAAGTCTTAGTAAGGTAATTAGAGCATCATATAACAAAGTAAAATACGTGTACTCTTTTGCTAATGAAAAAACAAAGACTAGCCATCTAGCTTCATATTCTCAGAATAATTTATGATACTTGAAACTCTAAGGAAAGGGCAAGTAATTGGGGGTGGGGCGAAGGAGGCACAGGGGGATTCAAGTCAAATAGATAACTAGATCAATAGTATTCATATTTTAACTCTTAAAAAATTAGTATTTGACTACATGAATACTTTCTCATTGTGAGATACTCAAATGATCCAAAAATATATATACAAGGTGGGGCAAAAGTGGGTTTACAGTTGTGAGTATGCGAACACAGAGAATACTTGTATTATTATTTATTATATATTTATATATATAAATATGTTTATATATTTATATATATAAATATATGTTTATATATTTATAAACATATATTTATATGTTTATAAACCCACCCTGTATATATATTTGCTATATAGAACAAGACTTGAAAAGTCCTCCAGTTCTCCCACTTCATCCTATTTCTACTCTATTCTCAGGGTAACCACTATCAAGTTAGAATGCCTCTTGCAGTTTTCTTTTGTTACATATTTTTAAAATAAATTTTATTATCCATACATATTATACTGAAAATTTTCACTTAACCATATGTCTTGGAGATCCTTCTAACTCATTACACATACCAACACATTCTTTTCAGTGGCAGTACCTTCTTGATGATTCCAGTATTCACATAGGTGATCCTTCCAGCACCCTGGTCTCTCTACCACTTATTCCCATGGTCATACGTTAGACCTGTCTGAAATAATAGTCAGTAGCCACTAGTCAGTATTTGAAGTGTGAATAATCTAAATTGAAATGTGTAAAATACACATCAAATTTTAAAGATTTACTATGTAAAAAAAGATAAAATATCTCATAAATAATTTATTGATTATATGTTGCAAGGTTACTCTGGTTACTCTTAGTAATATTGGGTTAAATAAAATTAATTTTACTTGTTTTTTTTTTAATATATTTTATTGATTTTCCACAGAGAGGAAGGGAGAGAGATAGAGAGTTAGAAACATCGATGAGAGAGAAACATCGATCAGCTGCCTCCTGCACATCTCCTCCTGGGGATATGCCCGCAACCCAGGTACATGCCCTTGACCGGAATCGAACCCGA